CACATGTTACCAGCTTCTCTAGACTTAGACTGAGCATAGAAAAGCAAGAAGGGAAGAGGAAGTATAAGAGTGATGGAGGGGTGATGGTGGGTGAGTTTTTGTGTGTGTGTATGTATGCGCATGCACAGGTGAGTGAATAAGTAAGTAAGTAAGTGAGTGAGTGAGTGAGTGAGTGATGGTGTGAGTGAGGTGGGTGAGTGAAGGTGAGTGGGTGAGTGAGTGAGTGGGTGAGTGAGTGGGTGAGTGAGTGGGTGTGTGAGTGTGTCAGTGAGTCAGTGAGTGAGTGGAGTGGAGTGGAGTGGAGTGGAGTGGAGTGGAGTGGAGTGAGTGGAGTGAGTGGAGTGAGTGAGTGAGTGAGGGAGTGAGGGAGTGAGGGAGTGAGGGAGTGAGGGAGTGAGGGAGTGAGGGAGTGAGGGAGTGAGGTAGTGAGGGTGAGGGAGTGAGGGAGTGAGGGAGTGAGGGAGTGAGGGAGTGAGGGAGTGAGGGAGGGAGTGAGTGAGTGAGTGAGCGTGAGTGAGGTGAGGTGAGTGAGTGAGTGTGAGTGAGGAGGAGTGTGTGTGTGTGTGTGAGTGAGTGAGTGAGTGAGGGAGTGAGGGTGTGAAGGTGACTGAGTGTGAGTGAGTGATTGAGTGAGTGATTGAGTGAGTGATGTGAGTGCGTGAATGAGTCTGAGTGATTTCAGCGAATGAGTCAGTGATTCAAAAGAAGTAAGTGAATGAGTGAGTGTGAATGAGTGTGAGCACAGTGTCCCACGCCTGCCACGCAAAAGCCACCAGCAATGCACATTGTCCCACGCCTGCCACGCAAAAGAGGCGGAGCCCGAGGGACGCCAGGGCGTACATCCGACCCCTTGGCAGTGCACATTGTCCCACGCCTGCCACGCAAAAGAGGCGGAGCCCGAGGGACGCCAGGGCGTACATCCGACCCCTTGGCAGTGCACATTGTCCCACGCCGCGGCCTGCCACGCAAAAGAGGCGGAGCCCGAGGGGCGCCAATGCGTACATCCGACCCCTTGGCAGTGCACATTGTCCCGCGCCTGCCACGCAAAAGAGGCGGAGCCCGAGGGACGCCAGGGCGTACATCCGACCCCTTGGCAGTGCATTCTCCCACGCATGCCACGGAAAAGAGGCGGAGCCCGAGGGACGCCAGGGCGTACATCCGACCCCTTGGCAGTGAACATTGTCCCACGCCTGCCACACAAAAGAGGCGGAGCCCAAGGGACGCCAGGGCCTACATCCGACCCCTTGGCAGTGCACATTGTCCCACGCCTGCCACGCAAAGGAGGCGGAGCCCGAGGGACGGCAGGGCGTACATCCGACCCCTTGGCAGTGCACATTGTCCCGCGCCTGCCACGCAAAAGGGGCGGAGCCCGAGGGACGCCAGGGCGTACATCCGACCCCTTGGCAGTGCATTCTCCCACGCATGCCACGGAAAAGAGGCGGAGCCCGAGGGACGCTAGGGCATACGTCCGACCCATTGACAGTGCACATTGTCCCACGCCTGCCACGCCAAAGAGGCGGAGCCCGAGGGACGCCAGGGCGTACATTCGACCCCTTAGCAGCGCACATTGTCCCACGCCTGCCACGCAAAAGAGGCGGAGCCCGAGGGACGCCAGGGCGTACATCCGACCCCTTGGCAGCGCACATTGTCCCGCGCCTGCCACGCAAAAGAGGCGACGCCCGAGGGACTCCGACCCGTTGACAGTGCACATTGTCCCACGCCGCGGCCTGCCACGCAAAAGAGGCGGAGCCCGAGGGACGCCAGGGCGTACATCCGACCCCTTGGCAGTGCACATTGTCCCACGCCGCGGCCTGCCACGCAAAAGAGGCCTCTTGGCAGTGCACATTGTCGCTCGCGCCTGCCACGCAAAAGAGGCGGAGCCCGAGGGACGCCAGGGCGTACATCCGACCCTTGGCAGTGCACATTGTCCCACGCCTGCCACGCAAAAGAGGCGGAGCCCGAGGGACGCCAAGGCGTACATCCGACCCCTTGGCAGTGCACATTGTCCCACGTGAGTGAGTGAGTGAGTGGGTGAGTGAGTGAGTGAGTGCGTGAGTGAGTGAGTGAGTGAGTGAATGGGTGAGTGAGTGAGTGAGTGGGTGAGTCAGTGAGTGAGTGAGTGAGTGAGAGAGTGAGTGAGTGTGAGTGAGGTGAGGTGAGTGAGTGTGAGTGAGGGGACGGGAGGGGACGGGAGGCGGGAGGCGGCGGAGGAGGAGGAGGAAGGCGGATACAGAACTAAAAACAAAAACCCCACACGTCAATGTGGGGAACAATCTCTCTATCTATCTACCTATCTATCTATCTATCCATCCATGCATCCATCCATCTATGTTATCTCTCTCTCTCTCCCTATCTATCTATCTATCTATCTGTCTATCTGTCTATCTGTCTATCTGTCTATCTGTCTATCTGTCTATCTGTCTATCTGTCTATCTGTCTATCTGTCTATCTGTCTATCTATCTATCCATCCATCCATCCATCGATCTTTGTGTGTGTGTGTGAGTGAGTCTGTGGTGTTTGGTGTGTGAGTGAAATGCTATGAGAGTGACTGAGTGTGGTTATGTGAGAGCTATCTATCTATCCATCTATCCACCCATCCATCCATCCATCCATCGATCTTTGTGTGTGTGTGTAACATCTGAATAGATGTAAAACTTCTTCTCTCTCTTTTTCTTCCTTTGTCCTCTCCCTTTCTAAATCTAAATTTAATGCAGGGGGCCACCGGGGTCCCGGGGGGGTCGGTGGCCACCGAAGACACCCCCCCGGGACCCGTGTAAACGTACCTGCATTAATCTAATAATCTAGGCTGGTTTGCATGTTTCAGGATTCAGTTCCTGACGGATCATATAATGATCCATTCTTGTCTAGTGTGATTTCCATGGTGGCTCCGACATGGTGCCATGGAGCCATTGGAGGCAACCCTTTTCAGGGTGAGTGTTGACAGACTTGAATTCGGAATTCACGCATTTTAACTTAGTAATTCGTCTAAGTAAAGGGCAACAATCAGCCTTGCGGTTTTCCAGCCTTTTGAGATTGTCCCGCTGATCTTGTGGTCCCAGGGATTACTCGCCGATGCGTTTCTTCAACTGTGAAGTTGTTCTGAATTGCCAGAAACTTCCTTTTTATCACTGCAGCTTGCGCATTTGAAGTTCAACATGACATTCACGACAAAAGGCAACAGGCATGTCCTTTTCCTGCAGGTGTGGTCTCTTTGGTTTTTGGTGAGGTGAAACATATTGTGCATCTAATTCGATGGAACTTGGAAGCTGTTTTATGCCATTGCGGCACGACTTGACCACGGTCCCGGTGCAGAGAACAATCGCACGACTTTTTAGGCATTTAGGGACTGAATCCTGTTTATAATTAATTGTTTTGGTTTTCCTGTCGGTCATCAACTAGTCCCCCATGTGGTCCCTAATTCTCCCCGCGTGCCTCTCCGTAATGTGTCGTGGGGTTTAGGTGTGTGCGCTGTTTTTGTCAGGTCCGTTTCGCCGTGTAGGTTGGTTCCGGAGGTCCGTCTGTTCCCCTCCCCCCCCTGCGCTGTTTTTGGCCGTTTGCCCGTTGTGTGTCCGCTTTTTTCTTCCTCTTGCCTTTCAGGGTTGACCCGGCTCCGGCCGGGTGTGTGTGTGTAACATCTGAATAGATGTAAAACTTCTTCTCTCTCTTTTTCTTCCTTTGTCCTCTCCCTTTCTAAATCTAAATTTAATGCAGGGGGCCACCGGGGTCCCGGGGGGGTCGGTGGCCACCGAAGACACCCCCCCGGGACCCGTGTAAACGTACCTGCATTAATCTAATAATCTAGGCTGGTTTGCATGTTTCAGGATTCAGTTCCTGACGGATCATATAATGATCCATTCTTGTCTAGTGTGTGAGTGAGTCTGTGGTGTTTGGTGTGTGAGTGAAATGCTATGAGAGTGACTGAGTGTGGTTATGTGAGAGCTATCTATCTATCCATCTATCCATCTATCCATCCATCCATCCATCCATCGATCTTTGTGTGTGTGTGACTGAGAGTGTCAGTGAGTGAGTGAGTAAGTGACTGAGTGAGTGTGAGTGAGTGAGAGTGAGCGAGTAAGGGAGTGTGAGTGAGTGAGTGCGTGAGTGCGTGCGTGAGTGCGTGAGTGAGTGAGTGAGTGAGTGCCAAGGGACGCCAAAGCACACATCCGACCCCTTGGCAGCGCACATTGCCCCACACCTGCCACGCAAAATGCACATTGTCCCACGCCTGCCACGAAAAAGAGGCGGAGCCCAAGGGACGCCAGGGCGTACATCCGACCCCTTGGCAATGCATATTGTTCCACACCTGCCACGCAAAATGCACATTGTCCCACGCCTGCCACGCAAAAGAGGCGGAGCCCAAGGGACGCCAGGGCGTACATCCGACCCCTTGGCAGCACGCCTGCCACGCAAAAGAGGCGGAGCCCAAGGGACGCCAGGGCGTACATCCGACCCCTTCGCAATGCACATTGTCCCACGCCTGCCACGCAAAATGCACATTGCCCCAGGCCTGCCACGCAAAAGAGGCGGAGCCCCAAAAAAAAAGCCAGGGCGTACATCCGACCCCTTAGCAGTGCACATTGTCCCACGCCTGCCACGCAAAAGAGGCGGAGCCCAAGGGACGCCAGGGCGTACATCCGACCCCTTGGCAATACACATTGCCCCACGCCTGCCACGCAAAAGAAGCGGAGCCCAAGGGACGCCAGGGCGTACATCCAACCCCTTGGCAGTGCACAGTGCCCCACGCCTGCCTGGGTGGGTGGGTGGGTGGGTGAGTGAGTGAGTGAGTGTGTGTGAGTGAGTGAGTGAGTGAGGGAGTGAGGGAGGAGGACGGGAGGCGGAGGAGGAAGGCGGATACAGAACTAAAAACAAAAACCGCACACGTCAATGTGGGGAAATAAGCCGATCTTAATCTTGCCCCAAAAGAGTTTCGAAGCGCTGTGATTGGATCTTGAAGGACGTCATCTACCAAATTGATTTGCAAACAAAACCAACACAAAATTCACAAGACCGGGTCCAAGCACACAGCTCCGTGGGCCTTGAACGGCATGGTCAGTTCTTGCTGGTCAGTGCACAGCTGCATCTGCCCCTCGTCCAGGTCGATTGCAAAGCCGAGGACGTCGTTGACTTCCCACGGTGCGATCTGCAGTGGTTCCCTTCTCCCACCGTGCCAGCAGCAAAGCCGTTGCCCATCAAACGCCCAGCCGTGGGCATCATCTCCAACGCCTTTATCATCGACTTCGCCACCCTCGAAATCTATACTGAGCCAACCCAGCAGACTGCAGTGGAACTCGCTCAAGATCTGGATTTCGTGATAAAACTTGCCTCGGCTCTGGGCCAAGTTTGGGGCACCGCAGGTGAACCAAACGTAGCCGTGCGGCGGTGTGTCAAGTGGTTTCAAAGCAGTGAGCCCAACCAGCTGCGGCTCAGGGCCGGGGCGGGCACCTGCCAGCAGCAACGCTTCGGTCACGGGGCCATTAGGGTCCTTTGCCTTTGCAATGTCCAAAGCACGAGCTTTGCCGATGCCAGCAGCGTTGACGTCTACAAAACCAAGCAGAAACTCCACGACCATCAAGTGATCCCCGTCTGCGGCTGCATGCAAAGAACGTACCCCGAAGTCATTACCAGCGCTGTGCAGATATTTCACGACCTCCAAATGGCCTTCCTGGGCTGCAAAAATTCCTGCAGTTGTTCCCTTGATGTTGGCTTTGTCCAAGTCACATCCGGCCGTGTGAAGAAATTGCACGACCTCCAAATGGCCGCTGAAGGCCGCAAAAATTCCAGCAGTGTCACCATCGTTGTTGGCTTTGTCAAAGTCACATCCGGCCGTGTGGAGAAATTGCACCACCTCCAAATGGCCGTTTCGGGCCGCGCCTATACCTGCAGTGTCACCATTGCTGTTGGCTTTGTCCAAGTCACATCCGGCCGTGTGAAGAAATTGCACCACCTCCAAATGGCCATTTCGGGCCGCACCCATTCCTGCAGTGTAACCATTGCTGTTGGTTTTGTCCAAGTCACATCCGGCCCTGTGAAGAAATTGCACGACTTCCACATGGCCGTTGAAAGCCGCACCTATTCCTGCAGTGTCACCATTGTTGTTGGCTTTGTCCAAGTCACATCCGGCCCTGTGAAGAAATTGCACGACCTCCACATGGCCGTTGAGGGCCCCAAGCATAGCTGCAGTGTCACCATCGTTGTCGGCTTTGTCAAAGTCACATCCGGCCGTGTGAAGAAATTGCACCACCTCCAAATGGCCGTTTCGGGCCGCACCTATTCCTGCAGTGTAACCATCATTGTTGGCTTTGTCCAAGTCACATCCGGCCCTGTGAAGAAATTGCACGACCTCCACATGGCTGTTGAGGGCCGCAAGCATAGCTGCAGTGTCACCATTGTTTTCGGCTTTGTCAAAGTCACATCCGGCCGTGTGAAGAAATTGCACCATCTCCAAATGGCCGTTTCGGGCCGCGCCCATTCCTGCAGTGTAACCATTGCTGTTGGCTTTGTCCAAGTCACATCCGACCCTGTGAAGAAATTGCACGACCTCCACATGGCCGTTGAGGGCCGCAAGCATAGCTGCAGTGTCACCAGTATATGTCCCCCGTTCCAACTCGCTTTGGCCACACGATTGCAGTGCCTGGATGGTGCTGACGTGGCCCCCCGCAGCGGCCCAGTGAAGTGCAGATTTGCCTTGCCACTTCGCTGTGAGCGAAACCCCGGCGTCGACCAACGCGTGGATCACGGAGCTCTGCCCAGCCTCAGCAGCCTGGCACAGCGCCGCCACGCCATCGTCGTCCTCGGCAGCCCGCAGCAGGCGTGGAATCTGCCATGCCACGCCGAACCGCGCTGCCAGCTCCAAGCGTCCACCCCGGTGGCCTGCTATGACGGGGAAGAAGGGCAAAGCAAACAACGACATAGTGACGTCGTGCGCCAGTGCCGTGAGGAATGCCAAGGCAAAGGTGAATAGAACCAACAAAGCGACCATCACCACAGCTGGCTGTTCAACTGCAAGGCATTCACTTCCAACTGCAATGGAAAAAGACCCAGCGCACAACCACAATGTGCCGAAGGTTTGTAAAAGACGGAGCGCAAGCAAAGATCTGGAAAGCCTGTGTTGGGCTGCTAAAGCTGCCGGAATGCAGCACCAGTAGGTGCCAAGGAGGCTAGCCATGACACTGACAAGATATTCTTTCTTGAAGAGCTCAGACCATGCCAGATTCAGCCCGAAACTTCGGGATTTGAAGACTGCTGTGATCAACAGCAGTTCCGCTGCCAGGATCAGAGGCAAATACGGCTGTTGAACCCCATGAAGTTTGGCACCAATCGGCCGAAGACACATTCCCAGCAATGCCCAAGCACCAACACGCGAAAAACTGTCACACCATCTGAAGCATAGCAAGGCCCCGGGTGGCAAATTGTTGTTCTCCAGTTTGCGGATTTCAGGAACACAGAGTTCATAGGCATTGTTGATTCCCACCGCAACGGTCAGGATGGACATAGCGATTGATCCGCACAAAATGAGCAGGTCGAGCAAATTTTCTTGGGGCGGTTCCAACATCATAGCATAAAGCTGCAACAAACTTGACGGCGCACTCTCAGCCAGCGCGGCCAACATCTTCTCCTCACGCAGGTGTCGAGTCATGCCATGAAGCCAGCCGTCCCAGGCCATGATCACAGGCTGGACCTGCGCAACGTACAGCGCGAAGCTCTTGAAACCAGGCTTTGGTTCACCATGCTCGTTCAAGCCTGACAAACAATATTCAACATTGGTTCCATATCTGCACCGTTTCCAGCTCACATATCTGTGGCCAAAAGCTACGCATCCGCTGCCAAGCCAAATCAAGATCATCAGAAGAGCAAAAACATACATCTTCTGCTTGCAATATTTGAAGGTCACGTACACATCTGACAGCATGTCGGCCAGCCAGAGCAAAACCATTTGAGCCACTTCGGCCTTTGCAAAGAATCTTTCAACTTGCTCCTCACCCGCTAATTTTCGGACAACAAACTCTGCAACACATCCACTGCACTTTTTCAACAGAAACAGAGCCAACAGCAACATTCCACAGAGCAACAGCTGTGCGCGATGCAGGATTGCCCACTCCATGATCTTCCGCATCTGGTCGGTGAAGCAAGGCCCTGGGGCGAACCTGCGCAGGTTGCCCAAATCCACCATTTTCACATGCAAGACGTGGAACTCTTTGCCCAACGGTTCTCGCAGCACCACCGCAGCCACAATGGCCACTGCCAGGCTGAGCAAACCACAGACTTTGAGGGCGAAAGCCCCGGAACCAGCTGGGCAAATGACAGATCTGCCGTGGATTTCCGGTTCATTGGCCGCCTTGTCGCGCAGCTCTTCTCTCACGGCCAGGAGGAGAGGCGTCTCCTCTTCCTCCCCGTCACTCGATTCGGGCAGCGGTCGGATGCTTTGAACCGACGCCTCCCGAGGCTGGCGCCTCCAAGGCCGCGACAAGCCGCAACCCATGGCTGACACCACAAGCGCTTCTACTACTCAAAAGCGAGTGCAAAAAGGCCCACGTTGTACCATGTGATCTCTTCTTGCGAAATGCTGTTTTCATAGTGTAAAGGTCCCACCTCCTTGGATCATGTCATCACATGTTACGACGCTGCTTCCTAGACATATTATAGCACTCTTCCTTTTGAGAAGGTTATGCGCTGAAATGATCTGAAATGTCGTTGAGATGAACTGGATGCATGGGATGAGTCACTTTCCGACTTAGCTGACTAGAAAAGGACGATTCATCACGTGATCTCACCTCAAGAACTGTTTCCTGGCATGTCACATGCCCCTTTCGTGAATCTTCCTGACATGTCGGAAGGTCTTGGAATGGAATGCCTCGTTGGCATCTACTGCGATGTGTTGGAATGTCATGCGGTGTATTGTGATGTAATGGAATGCGTGGGAAAGTGTTGGCACGTTGCCTTGAATCACACAAGCACCTCTGCAAGCCAAATTTTCGGCCGAACCACATTCGCCACATCGCCCAATGATTTGGACATCTGCATTCAGTGACTTCAAGGCTGCAACATGCGCGACACCTTCATCCTACTGAATTTGACACAAGCCAAAGAATGCTTCCGATCAGGACGCAACTGAGGGCCCCACTATGCAAAATGGTGCCGTGCCAAGACGCTTGTTGTCGTCCGCATGGTGGCAGCTGCTTCTGTTGGACCAGTTGAACATCCAGTTTTTCTGCTTCATGCATCTACTCCGGGGATTAAGAAGTTCGTCGAGACAACGACAAGTTATATAGTGATTTGTTGCATCACCTTTGCCTCATAACAGCCTTTGAACCGTGCGAAAAATGCAGGACGACATGGCTTGCAAAGATCAAAACATCTGGAGCTGCATGGAGCTGCATGGACCTGTTGTGTGGGAATGTACTCTGGGCAAAGCACTGCGCAATTCACCTTTCGTAAACATGGTCAAGGCCAGCTTCAAAACACTCAGCAAGGACTTTCCAGCATCGAACTTTGTTCTTGATGAAAGTCAAAACGAAAGAATCACAACCTCACTTGCCTGGTGTGAGACGGCTTTGCGAAATAAACTTAGGAAGACAAAGCACCCGACAAAGAATGGTAAGTGAGAATTCTTAAGGGTGGCATGAGGAGCAAATGTTTAGGATGAACAAAAACAAGTGCAAAAACCCAGTCCGCAACAAAACAGTGTCATAGCAAGCAACCGCTCCTTTGCTTGCGCTCTGCTGATTACAATCCATACGTTTGAAAGACGGGGCGAACAGGCCCGCAAGATGAGAAAGTAGCACAACCAGCGTGTCCTGCGAAGGCCAGCGAGATTATCCCCCAAATCTGCAGGTCCAAAGGCAGCTCAGCCTATTTTACTGTCGCACGCGCAGTCAGGTTCTGCAATTGGCAGCTGCTGAGGGAATCTTCGCCGGGCCACCTTGGCGCAAAATGAACAAATCATAGCTACAGCTGCGGTGGAAGGAAAACTCCGTTCCAGCACGAACCAACCGAACCCAACTGGGAGCCCTGCCCAACCGGCCAATCAAATTCTCCGATTTGGTTGCTGCAACAATCCCCGCATCAAATTCGACAGCCTCGTTTCCGTTGATAGCTCCAAAGATGGAACCGTCCAAATTTTTCCACCAGCTAAGCATATTTTGACACAGCTAGATGTAGCCACAGGTTCTGGATCTGGAAGACTTGCTGAATTCATTCATTGTTCACATCGCAGCATGCCAACATTTGGGTGAAATTGTTGACATCAAGGCTACTGAACTTTCACATCATGTATGAGAACGAAACACACGAGAGTGACGAAACATCGAAGCATCCTTGGGTTTGGTAGCAAAGGTTATTTAGGTTATTTGCATGTTCTCTGCACCAACCTTCTGGACTCACACATATGTTGTACACCCTGAAGTTATAGTTTTGTCGTTTGCTGCGAAGATGTTGACGAACTGTGCTTGGACACCACGCTTCCAATCCGTCGCTGTGCCTCCTGCACAGGGGCCGTTCTTCTCGCTACCATTGTTCCATTGTGATGAAACATGCTGAAGAATCTTTGAATCTTTATCAACATGTTCCAATTGTATCAAACAAGTGGGCAAGTCCCAGGGATATCCTGGTTGTGATTTGGGGCTGCGCGCCACCATTGAAACTCGTCAAAGTAGATCTTGGTATCTGCAAGGATCGACCCCTTGGCACCTGCCATTGGAGATGCGACGGATCGCCCTGGGCGGTCAAAACAGGCAGAAAAGGGCGAGTTGAACGGGCTGAACGGGTTGAA